AGACAAGTTTAGCAAATGAAGTGACTTGAGTTCTCCCAGCTCTTCAGGAATGTGTCCATGGAATCTATTACTTGAGAAATCAATAGTTGAGAAAGCCATCGGGATTCTCGTCAGCTCCACGTATGAACCTTTCAGTATTACCATCACAGAATCATCATAGTAAAAGGGATAACTAACCGTTGAAAAACCGGTACCCATATACACCAATTCACTTTCCTCTTCATGTACATCTCTCATACCTGTTAAATTTTTGAAATAGCTACTCGGCAGGAGACCCGTGAAGTCATTATGCGAGACATCAATGATTCTCAACTCAGGGAAGTAAAATGCAGGTGTAGAGTTGTAAATGGCACCATGAAATCGATTGGATCGAAGGATGAGAACTTTTAGCCCTGAAAGAACACCTAAACAATGTGGAAAGGTGTCATACAAGCAGTTGTTCCCCACATCAAGAACTTGCAAAAATCTGCAATAGCCCAAAGTCCGTGGCAGTATCCCCTCTAACTGGTTGCCATTTAGGTTAAAAGTTATCAGTTGACTCTCGTTGACAAAAGAATTTGGTATTATACCATGAAACTTATTCATCCGCAAATCCAAGATGGAGAGATGACTAAAGTTTCCAAGACATTCTGGAATTTTTCCTCCCAAACTATTATTAGCTAAGATTAGAACATTAAGAGAAGTCAAATTGCAATAAGAATAAGGGATTTCGCCAGTCAAATTATTCCCTGAAATGATGAGATTCATAAAATCCGAAGTTGTTGATAGAATGGGAAGTGATCCTTGTAGTAAGTTGGAACTGAGGTCAACCTGGGTAAGATTTTCAAAAGCAAACAAATCTATACCGGTCAAAAAGTTATAAGAAAGGTTTAAACTGGCCAATGACATCCCTTCTATTTCCCATTTGTGAATTTGACCAGAAATCTTGTTCTTGGAAATATCCAATACTAGCAAACTCTCTGCCTTCCTTAAGAAACTTGGGAACTTTTGTATGTTGCAAGAAGAGAATCTTAAATACCGGAGGTTTGGAAATGAATAGTTGACGCCAATGCTATTATTGCTCAAAGACAGCAAACTATTATTGGAAAGATCCAGATCCTCAAGGTTTATAAGTTTTGAAAGCACGTTGGCTGTAAAGGTGCCACTTAAATTATTTGAAGAAAGGTCGACCGCGATAAGATTCACAAGACGAAAGAAAGAGCTAGGAAATGAGCCACTTATCCCATTATTGGACAAATACACTCCTTGTAAAATGAGATTAGGCATCTCAATATGATCAATAGGTCCGGTAAGTCTATTGTTTTGGAGTTCTAAATAGGATAAAGAAGGTAGAGAAAACAACCAAGATGGTACATGACCTATGATGAAATTATTATCCATTTGAAACTCTTGTAAAAATGAGAGTCCACTTATATTGCGAGGAAGAGGCCCTCTTAGCTTATTTGATGACAGTCTCAAATAACTAAGACTGGCGAGGTTGAAGATTGATGTAGGAATTTCACCATCAAAACTATTATTAAAAAGGCTCAAATAAGTTAGCTTTTGCATTTTTCCAAAAACATCTGGAATTGATCCATAAAATTGGCAACTATCAAGATTCAGATACTCGAGGGTACTGCTCAGGCTTGACTCAGGCAAATTACCTCCCAAATGAGAGTTGTCGCTTAAATCAAAAAGCTGGAGAGATAGAAGCTGAAAAACTTGGCTTGGAAAGTTTCCTTGCAAATTACAAGAGCGAAGGCTCAAATGCTCCAAGGAAGAAGTCAAGTTTAGCAAGGAAGAAGGCACAACCAGAGACATTCACAAAATCAAGGATAAGAAACCTTAATTCTGTTAAGTTATGCACAAGCATTTGAAACTTTATGCTGTCAAGAAGCAAATCATCATTATTAGAGAGATCG